GGACAAACCGGGCAGGAGCAAAAAGGTGTGTGGAAAAAAAAACCAGCTCCACAGGATTCGACACACACGCCCTGGGATTAGGAACCGAATAGGAACTTCGTTGGCATACAATTTGAAGCAGTTGTGCAGCAAATGTATGTGCTGCAGGCATTTGCTGGAGCAAAGAGAACCAGATGCAAAAAGGCATCTGTTGGGGGAAAATGGCTACTGACAGGTAGTTTGCAAGAACATGCCTTTTGCTGTTAAGCATGAAAGAAAACAGGCCCAGGCGTTTGCCTCCAGCGCCCGATAGGGCCCATGTTCAAAAAATACACAAATTTCCTGGTGTTGGCAACGACTGGAGCTGGAAAAATGATCGAAAACTCAATTCAAAAGGAAGTTTGCTGCGTTGTAATGTTCAATAAACGATGTTGAACTGCATTAGTCTGAGCTGCACGAGCTCTGGGTCCATCTCGGGTCAAACCAAGGCCTGGGACAATGGCCGGGCCTTGTATGATCCAGCTTGCTAAGCCCAATTCTGCATGAAAAATTCCTCTACTCTTGGAAGCTTGCCACGCTGACTTTTGTTCCATCAGTTTAAGTTCTTTTTTTTGACAAGTGTTGATCCACCCATGCTACAGACCAAACGACCAACTGCAACGTCCAGCAAAACGTTACTGCAAGCATTCAACACTATGAACTTTCGTGCTGTGGCATGTGAGCACATTGTGGATTGAGCTCGCAAAGACACACCGTAGCTGCGCTCTCAGCCCAACTTGCCGCAGCAATGCCCAAGGTTCACGAGTCCAAAATGGTCGCAGGCAAGATCCAGCGCGCCTGCAGCTGATATCTGAATTGGCAGCCCCTGTAGCTACCAGCAGTAGCAGGAATGAGTTGCATGAATTTGCTACCGAGGCGGCCTTGCTTGGCCCAAGATCCGCCAGAAGTGGTTGAAATCGAGTTCGGCACCCCATGGACGAAATTGAGAATTAAGAGCTTTGCTTAGACATGAGGAACAAGCTCCCTTCATCACTTGGTGGTCACAATCCGATGCACGTCGCGCTGGCGACTTGGAAGTTGATGTTTGCTTGGGCAGATTTTGTCACTGCCAGGTGTGGCCTCCCAAATGGTCAGTGTATGGCAAGGCAATGGGCTCTGCATATTGGTGGATCGTGTTGGCAAGTGTTGGCCACCTCTAATACTGCCATGGGTCGATGAGCCTCCACGGCTGCTTTAAGCTGCTAGCTGCCGGTAGCTGCACGCCAGGACCGATCGCAGTTGCCGTGCGGAACTCAGCGCGGACGGATTTTGGATTTTGAGGCATGTGTATGGCGGGCAGTGCTTCAAGGCCCGATATCGGGACTTGGACCCCGAAACCAAACACAGATGTGCGTCCTGGCCCGGGTGCCTGGCTGAGCATGAGGACGCTGAGGCACCCAATCAACTTGTAATGGCTTTGAGTTGCTTAGTGCGCTTGTGATTCCCACCGTTACACATTTGGCTTCCAGTTATAGCGTCAAGCAAACAATACCAGCCAACGAACCATCCAACCCGCAGATTCGACTTGTTCTGTTATATCGCTAGCCAGGGGCTTAAAAGCGATGGGCTGCGCAAAAAGTGCGCCTGTCGAACCGGCACCGCCAGAAGAGACCGTGCCGATCAAGTCGCGAAGTGACGACAAAAAGGCGCGTGGATACGCGTGTTCCTGACGGTTGACGAATATCCCTGCAACAGGCAGCGCAGCTGGAGAACAAGGAGAGAACCCAAACGTGAAATGAGCGATTGCAGTTGGTAGGGTCAGAAGGGTTAGGACAGACCGCCACGGATGTTCACAGATGTGCATCTGCAGGAATACCATGCGAGAATGAAGTTTTTATCCGAAGTCCCGCTCATGAAGCGTTTGCCCAAAGATGAGCACCCCATTGTGGCCGAAGCCTGTGAGGCATTGGTCAGTCATTCCGAGCAATTGAAAGTGTGCTTTCAACTGTCAAACCTGGAGAAATGACAGGTTTGCAGCTTCGATCCTGGCCACAAGATCATTCAGCAGGCCGTGCTGCATGAAAAGCATGAGTTGGAATGAGTTGCAAATTAGCCAGTGCTGCACGCAGGGTGACATCGGCGATGCTTTCTATGTGGTTCGAACAGGGGAGGCCAGCGTTCACGTAGAGAATGAGGATGGCAAGAAGCAGGTTGCGATCCTCAAGGCCATGTGTGGAGATGGAGAGAGCGTTTGTTCCACATCTGCAGATATGGCGCCGCCAGGGTGGAGATTATTTTGGTGAGAATGCGTTGCTCAGAGACGAGCCGCGCCTTGCCCTGGCCCCAGACATTTTGCTGTAGCTTTGATGCCAGAAGCTTCGGAAACTGCAGGCCACGATCATTGCAGAAAGCAAGCTCGTGGCATTGAGAATAACCAGAGAAAAGTTCGAGGAGCTAGAATGGGTTCAGCCGCCAAAAACCCGAGTGCACACAAAGACTTGCAGGGGCTCATAGACTCACAAATCTGGTTCACGCCAAAGCAGCATTGTGAACAGCAGCCCAGCAGAGGAACGTTGGCAAAGAGCCTGCAAGCACACCTGTCCCTTGAGCGCTTCTTTCAACTGCGACAGTTCCTGAAGGCAAGTGAGGGTCTTTGTCTATCAGTGCAGGAGCTTGGCCTCAACAACAAGCTCATGTTTGCGAACCGCAAAGCTGTTGGAGGGGGTCTGCTCATGCAGACGATGCTCAGCTGAACAGTCGCCGGTGGTGGCTGGTACAAATGCTCTATCAAGCCATGTGAGTCAGGTTTGCGGATTTGCAGCAGCTCAAGATCCATGTATATGAAGGGTTCCTGCCGAGGAAAACCAAGCCCCCAACAGAGAAGACAGAGGCGGATATTGTGCCTTGGAGTCTAGGGGAGGCGTTCTGGGTGGGCATGTATCCCTGCAGCGTGCACTTTGCATGCCAGGGCAGGCAGTGCTGTGATTCAGCATGATTCTGCACATCTCAGCAGCCAAGGACCTCATCACTCGTGCGCTGCAGGAGAACGAAAACCTAGCCACCATGACAGCTTTGGATGACGCAAGGTTGCGGAGAAGCAAGAAAAGTGTCAGAGACAGTGCTTTCCAACATTTGGCACTGCCGGTTGAGGTTGCAATCATTCATAGATGTGATGTGGAAAGACGAAGTAAAGGCTGGCTGAACACTTTCCTGATCAGAAGATCCGGGCGTCAGAGCATTGGTTTACGTATTGATGTGCCGCAGGCAGGGGAGCAGATTATCACAGAGGGCGACCTCAAAGCAGATTTTTTCTATATTGTGCAGCTTGGTGAGTGGAATTGGTTGGACTGCTTCGACCAGTATCGAGTAGGTCTCTGCCTTGACAGGGCCTCTGGCGAGTTTGACGTTAAGATCTCTGATGCTGGGCATAGTTTGGCTGATGGCTCTTGCTGTCTCAAATTTAGATTGTGGCTGAGCGCTTGAAACCACAGGAAACCGATGATGAAGGCAACCCAAAGGCTGTAATGGAGAGCACGGTCTCCAAAAGCGTGACCCACGTCACTGCAGGCTGAAGATTGCTATCAACAGCATTTTCCTAGGCATCCACTTTGTATCACTTCGTCCTGAGAGGTGGTAGCTTTGGCGAGCTGGCGCTGATGTATTTCGTCCCTCGTGCAGCAACGGTCATCGCCACCACGGACTCCGAGGTTTGGGTGATTGCCGCATTGCTTGGATTGGTTGTTTGCAACACTTCGCCTCGACGGGAAGACAGCTGATCCAGTTATCTTTGTTATCTCGCCAAGGATCGGGGCAATTTCAAAAACATCTTGATGAAGGCGCATGGGTCAGGTTTGCACGCGCCGTGTGGTTGCAGTTGTTTCGGGGAAAGGGGCTAGCAGATGCAGCTTCTGGAAGGCATCAGATTCCAGGATCAAAGCCTGGACCTGAGCTAGCTCGCGAGCTTATGCCCTAAGCTATGATTGAATGTCAATGTCGCAATGTGGGCCTAAGGAGTACGTGAAGTACTTGGACCAGGTATCAGTGCTGGATTCCCTCTTGGCAGAAGAGAAAAAGCAAGTGGCAAATGCTTTGGTAGAGATCCTTGGCGTCTGGAATTTTTTTGGAAGAATAGAGTCGCACTGCAGTGGTGCAAATCTCAGGATGCATTTTGAAAAGAAGGACGTTATCATTCAGCAGGGCGAGCCAGGGAACATGTCCGAGCCCAAAACTCTTCAGATGCCTGGTGTCAGTGAGCGTTTCGCGCGTATAGGTTCTACATCATGTATGAGGGCGAGGTGGCTGGGCAGCAGACAACCTGCCAAACAAGAGGGAAACCTCAGGGAAATATGACCATCAGCATGAGTCAGAATTGCCCGAGTCCAGGTAGAGATCCTCAAGGAGCATGCCTGTGTTGCATACGGACAGTTTCTTATGACTTGCAACTGTGCTGTGGGCAGCACACGATGCTGACAGACAACGCAAATTTATGTCAGGCCAACGGTCAAGGTTGTTTCTGCTTGGAGCACGACATGGCCCTGCCGCAGGAGGGAGAAGTGGTGGCAACATTGGATGCGAGGATCAAAAGCGGCCACTGAACTGCTTTGTTCACGCAGTGTGGGTGTATAGCTTGCATCCAAACCGTGGCAGTCCCAGGAACTGTGCAGTTCTTTGGTGAGAAGGCCCTTCTGGAAAATGAAAACCGCACGGCAACGGCACGCGTCTCCAGAAAACTCATCCGCGCGCCATCAGGCGAGAAACTCCCAGTGCTGAGGTGCTTGTGAGATCGTCTTCTGCGAAGTGCTTGGTGTTGGACCGGGAATCCTTTGATCTCCTCCTCGGGCCCTTGAAGGCACGTGCTGAGAATGGGACCTGGGATTCCCAAGGCAGCTGTTGTTATGGGACAGTGGGCTCTACGGTCTTGTAAAGAGGCAGCAGATTCTGCTTATTCATCCAAAGAGCCGCTTTTAAAACATCTGATATACCAGGTGTCTAGGTTCACCCTCCTAGAGGGGATGCACATCAAAAAACAATTATTGAGGATCAAGAAAAAATATTTGGGATCAAACATGAAATATATTCGGGATCAAAAAATAGCCCAGCGATCCTCGTAACTATCTGTCGTCGCGTTTGGACTCTTGGATCCTCGTGGAGTTTGAAAAGTGTCAACAGTCAGAGGGACTGTGGTCAGGGTCAGGATCCTCGTAACTGTCGTCGCTTTTGGACCCTTGGATCCTCTTGGAGTTTGAAACGTGTCAACACTCACAGGGATCGTGGGGGTCGGGGTCGGGATCCTCGAAACTGTCCTCGCTTTTTCAACCCTCGGAGCCTGAGAGAGAGTGAGCAAGAAAGAAAGTAATCAGGACAGCAAGAAAGAAAGTAAGCTTCCTCAACAGTTTGCCTTTGGGCCCTAAATCCTAAACTTTAAGGCCCAAATGAAAAGATCCTTGGATATCGGGTAGTCAGAGACTGAAGGCTGTGCCGAGATCTCATGCGCACTTGCATTTGCGTTGCGCTGCTATGCTCCATCTTGCTTCATCACGTGCATGGTTTTTTTTTTTTTAAGCGGCGGAAGAAAGCCCATGTTCTAATCTTTGTCCAGGTTTTGCAGTTGGGG